TTATTTATAAAAAATTTTTTTAAAAATACACAATTATGGAGATCTGAGAATTACTCAATTTAGCCCACAATAGAGCTGGAAAAATACAGTTGGAGAATTTTTTGTTGTTCTGCTATTTTTTTCTAAAACTGATTTGTTGCATTTTACAATCAGTGCCTTTTATAAATGAATAAAGGTACAACCAAAACAACTGCAACAAAGCACTTTTTATTTTATAGTGAAATTGGTATTGCTTCATTTGTTAAGTGCAAATCTATAATCTTTCTCATGTTCATCTTCCCAAGCATTGCTTTTCCCTAATGATTCTTCATAGCTTCTAAATATAGACCGTGCCTTAATTTGTGACTTTTACACATGTACAATTTGTTTTGGTAAGACCTCGTCCCCAATGTAACTCCTTGAATAAATTAATTCCTCTGGGAGCAGTTGAAACCCCTGAAGGATAAGCTGGCATTTTTAGTATAAAACATGCACAGTAAGCATTGTAATACAAAGAGATTGGGATCATCATGATTGTATTTAGCTTCTCATTAAAGGATTTGAATTACACAGTTAGAAGAACTGATATTGAAAAAAAGAATACAAATGATGTTGAACATATTAAGATTAGAGGTCTATAAATTTACAGGAAGTTTTGTTGAATTGCCAAATTAAGGCCAAATAGAGTTTAGGAACTCTGGAAAATGCTTGAATGGGAGATTTTATGCGACTTGGCTACTGTAGCATCATTTTGGGGATCAGTTGTGAAATCATCAGAACGAGCTGTTTAGCAAATAAACTCTATGATATAGATAAATCAGATGCTTTGTTTAAAACTTTCCCCTAATTTCTATAATATTATCACTGGTTAGTAATCCTTTCTAACTGGTCTGAAATTTAAAAAATACTTTTTTTCTTTCAGATCTTGCATTATAGTCCCATTTTGATACCTGAGCCTGCTTTAAATACTCTGAGCATCATAACCTGTACAACCCACTGTAGTTGTTATGGTGGCTGGCACACATTATTATTACTATGTTATTATTTATATAGCGCCATCAAATTCCGCAGCGCTTTACAATGGGTGGACGAACAGACATGTAGTTGTAACCAGACAAGTTGGACACACAGGAACAGAGGGGTTGAGGGCCCTGCTCAATGAGCTTACATGCTAGAGGGAGTGGGGTAAAGTGATACAAAAGGTAAGGATAGTATTAGACAGTTGTAAAAGAGGAACCAGTCGGGAGCTATTAACAGTTTAATTGATAAGCTTTTATGAAGAAGTGGGTTTTTAACGATTTTTTGAAGGAGTGGAGACTGGGTGAGCATCTAACGGAGGAGGGAAGAGAGTTCCACAGGAACGGTGCAGCCATCGAGATATCTTGAAGGCGAGCATCAGAGGTGGGAGTACGGACAGAAGATAGACGTAAGTCTTCAGCAGATTGTAAAGGCCTAGACGGGACATATTTGTGTATAAGGGAGGATAGATAGGTGGGAGCAGCATTATGTAGAGATTTGAAAGCAAGAATCAGAACTTTAAATTGAGCTCTATATTCTATAGTAAGCCAATGTAGGGACTGACAGAAGTGTGAGGCATGGGAGTTGCGGGCGGACAGGAAGACGAGCCTCGCTGCCGCATTCATTATGGACTGTAACGGCGCAAGTTGGGAGCACGTAAGACCACTGAGAAGCGGATTACAGTAGTCAAGGCGAGAAAGGACAGTGGAATGGACCAGCACCTTAGTCACATCTGGCGTTAGTAGGGGCGGATGCGCACAATGTTTTTGAGATAGAAACGGCAGGATTTGGCGATAGACTGAACATGACACATATTAAACCTTTTTAGAATGACCAGCACAGGTGAAGCCTGATGAAGCAAATAGAATGCAGGTCCGCTGCAGGTTGGGCTCACTGGCAGAAAGTGCACATCTGATGCTGTCCCTCAGTGACAGTGGCTCTTCACAGCCCTGCTTGGCTCAGTAGAGCTAACTGGATTCTCCTGCAAACCGAATCCGAAACCAAGGCTGCAACCAAGGTGCTTGGTGGGGACCTGGTAAAATGTCTGATTAATTATGCTGGCAGGGCACAAGGGCATTCGTGGCACTATAACCACAACAGTAGGCTGTTGCATTGTGAGTGATGACATATTAATGTCATTTTACTGTGTGTGAGGCATTCTTGCCAACAGACACAAATTTATCGGGATATTCCTAATTTTGTTTCCCTGTTTTATTTTATGGATTTTTATCTCCCCATCTTTAGTAATATTTTGGAAAAAGTGCAGCCCATATGAAGAACATGTACATGAAGATGTGCTCACACAATGCACTTCACACACGACAACAATGGCAGATACGTGTTGGGCTAAACTAGAGCAGGTATCCCAGGAAGAAGCAACGCAGTTTGTCATACTGATCTAGTGGAGCTGACACTCAACCTGTAGCTGCAACTGTTACAAAAAAATGACACTTTACAGTCAGTAACATTTTCTGTATACATTGTGCCATCCAAATTCTTAGATCAATTTGTTTAAATTTAATCTTAAACATTAATAGCAGCAAATAAGGAGTCCAGGCAAGTGGCCCTGAAGTAGCCAGAAACATAACCAATATCATTCCTCTGCAAGCATACACTATGAATTGTGTGTTTCTGGTCCCATCATTTAGGAACATAGTAGCCGTGGGAGCAACCGCCGCATCCACATTCGGTGGCAGTGTGGGGAGATGGAAAGGATTTCTAAGTAAGAATATATTTTATTCTAACAGGGTTATTTACTCAATTGAGAATTCAAAGTGAATTCCAAATTCAAGGACAGAGTAGCCGAAATGAAAGCGTACCTGAGAATTTTTTCAGTCCAACTATTTTGTCCAATGAATTTTAAATTCATGTTGAATTCTCATTTTAGTGAATAACCCTTTAAATATATTTCCCAGAGATTTCTGTGGTGCAAAATACATATTTAATGTATACCTCCCTGATTTGTGGGTGACACTCTGTTAATAGAGTGCCCCTGTGCACACAAAGTAAAATGATATCATGATTAAAGACTCACTGAACCTGGGACATTTGTTAGGTATATGAGAGTTTAAAAGCACTGCAGCATCGAAGGTTAATTTTCTAAAATCTAGTTGATATATAATATAGGTAAAATGGCTGATTTGGAAAGATTTTGTAACTCAGCTATAATCATACATTGGCTATTATAACCTACATTTTGCAATGCGATTTCAATTCCCTACAATTACCCTTTTATATCCTTTCATATCCTTCTTGGCAACAATATTTCATCATATTTCTTTTCACTATTCATTGTGCTAATAAACTGCTGCAGGCACTACAGAACCCATTAGTTTGTATTAATTATTAGTTAATTTGGGAGGGGACAGGCGCTCACCTGAAATACGAGTTAATAAAATGCATACATGATTAGATTTCATAATTTTATAGTTTATGTACCTAACTTAATATTTGGAGACAATTAAGACTGAAATCCACCTCCAGCCAACCAACCGATTTGTTTCAGAGGCAGTCTGGCAAGTTTCAACCATCGAGCAAGTCAATACAGGAACCAGGTGCATGGCTTTGTAAACACACTGGGTATCTCGTTATAGTATGGCAGTCTCTATGAACATATACCTAAAGGCACACAGAATAGGCCTACAAAATATATATCACATGTGACAATTGTATGCTTAAACCCTAGCAGGATCTAAACATTGTGTACCACAATGTCCATGTGCTAGACATGTGTTACAGTCAACCTATTTTCAACACTTTTGTGTTTAATTACAGGGAGTGCTACCCAGATAATATAAAGTTAAATATCTGCACCCATGATTAAGCTCTATTTTCTGTGTAGTCACTATGTCGTTCTAATATGTACTACCTTTCTGAACTATATAGTCCATTATCTGAACGGGATTAACACAAGGTTTGTTAGATCTAATACTATGTGCCCTACCCTAGTAACAGGCACAAATGAAAATTAGAAAAGGAAAATTGCTTTTAGGCCCCACACTTGCCAATCAATGGCAGCACTTATCAGAGCTGGGATTAATGAATTAATTAGACAAGCTGCTAGCATCCTAAAACCTTACACGCATTCACCATTTCTACCATTAGCTTTCTGATAGTAAATGGCGATGATCGATCATATTTTTTAATGTTCTTCATTTGGCACACTAATGTTTGTGACCTTAGAATTAGCATACAGCTATCACCATAAGCAACAAGCTACTATCATTATGAGCACAAAGCTGCATTTCTGTTTCACTTAGTATTCTGGAAGCACCTGAAGCTTCTTATACTGGGTCAGCTGTCAAGTGGTGCAACAATATTCCAGCATCATGTAAATATTACTGGCTATTATGCTGTTATGTCACAGCAGTCTGACATGAACCTGGCAAGTCGTAAGGAGTTACTGACAATCAGCACCAATGAAATTATTTTTTTTTAAAAAGCTCAGCTGGCCACAGAGGCTGTAGTTGTACAATACATTACAAAAGAAAGTCACTTTTGTGCCTTGATTTGTACGGGCCAGTAAAATGCTAAAATGTGTGCATTGCACAAAAAGTAAAAAGTAAAAAGCAAAATCGCTCTATGGGTTGGAAAACCAGTGATCCGTGGCGCACACTGATGTAAATGCAAATCAATTTTTAGAGATTTGCATCCTTCCTTTGGAATTACCTGTATTGTTTTTTACTGAACATGTTTTCTAATATATGAACCAGAAAACAAATGTCCTATGTATTTAGTTTTGCAGTTTCAGTGGATACATACATTGGTATCAGAATAAGCTGATTATTTATACAGCAATGCCAATAATATCCATATAGTGTAATATATGACAATAGTTGCTTTAAAAGAGCAGTACGGAGTATTGCAGGTCTATTACAACACATACAACCAGTGTTGTTTATTTTTGTTACTAAAGCAGCGGTCAGACTGTATAAATTGGTCCCTGTGGGGCATGAAATATGCCCTCTGTGAATAAGTGTTGTTACTATGAAACCCTTTTAAGAAAAGACAAACATGCATTAACATTAACAATTTCTTTTAATGTAAAATAAACTATCTACAAACACGACTAGCAATCCATTGCATATGATGGTAGTCAAGGTTTCTCTGCATAGGATCCAGTCTCATAATTTTATTTTTCTAGATTTGATTTCATCAAAAATAGTCTGAGTCATAGGAACATATTTCTTCTCTCTCTCGTCCAGGAAGTATAGGGGATCGGAAATTATAGATGGGTCAAATCCTTCCTTTACAAGCTCCACCTTGCGCTGTTTAAACGTTCCTGTGGTTTCTAAAACATCCTAAAATGGATAAGATAGGAAGCGTGTTTAGCCAAATATGTGATTTGCATAAAAAATATAAAAAGTGTGGAAATGTGATAATAATAAGTGAAAAACAAAGTTACTTGTACAGCAAAATATTTTCTTGTGTTCCCGTTTCTCACTTAGGAAAATGTTCAGCCCTATCATTGGTGAAACATGGCTATTTATCTCATTATCCACAAACAGAAACCTAAAGGGTTTAATGTGCATTCTATAGAGCAGGCTTAGCCGGTTACACCCACTTTACAATTATAGCACTGTATACAAGATTGATCTGTGGCTAGATTAATGGGTCCTGTAAGAAGCACTATCCAAACATTTACCTTTCTTAATTTCCTGATCTAACTCCCCTATGTGGCTTTACATTGGTTCTTTAATTTATAGCACCAGTCATTCCACAATACAGGCCTTCTCCCTCGGTTGGCACAATGCTTGATTACAAATGATTGGTAGATTAGCATTAATGGAAGAAAAAAAGGTAACCACTGATAGCATGAGAGACCACATTTCCTCTGTTTCATACCAAATCGTGTTGTGGGTCAATATATGAGATCTTCAACGGTACGCCTAGATTTTAAGTTCATTACAGCAGGTCCCTTGTCACTTATCAGCTCTGTTGCCAATATACTGAATTTAATAACCACCTGTTTTAGATCCTCATTGTAACATTTTATAGAGCTGCACAATATGTTGGCACTCTATGAATGATGATGATGATAAGTGACCATTTCTTTAGGGGTGGGGGGACTAAAAAAAAGGAAGGTTTCCCAAGACCCCATAACAACAACAACAGGGAAGATTCAACAAGCGAAATTTCCTCTTACTTTACGCCACATGAGGTTGTGCATATTTTCACGTTCTGCTGCAGCACTCAAAGGTTTAGTTATGATACTTATTATAATAAATTTTGGCATTTATATAGCGCCAACTTGTTCTGCAGTGCTTTACAATGCTATAAAATGGAGGATATTTTACAATAAATTAAACAATTACAAAATGTTACAGGAACAATAGGTTGACGAGGACACTGCTCAAACAAACTTACAGTGTAGGTCAATGACAAGTGTAGGATAAAGCCTGTAAAATGTTTATTTGAAATTTTCTTTTTGGGGGGGCAGTGTTATTTCAGACAGATAGTGACAAAGTCTGGGCTTTATACTTACAAATTAATATTATACTTCCTTACAAATGCTACTCACCTGGATTCTGATAAATCGAGGCCTTGCATAGTTTGGCAGGAAGTCTCTGACATGTGCATATAATTTCCTCCCATCAAATTCATAGTATTCCCTCACCCGTATAGCAGCCATTCCTATTCGGCCTTCATGATCTATTAAAAAAAGGAAATTAGGGAAACACAAGGTCAGTGAGTTTCACACAGAACAAACAGCCTGCCTATCCACAAATATCCTATAATTTTACATCTATGATTTAATAAAATTGAGGCACAAACTATGCTGTGTGACCATGAGAAATATACAGCTATATACACTTTTTCCCCCCTGTCTGCTATATCAAGATGGCATTGATAAAGCTATAATGCATTTTCAATGATAAATTTGTAGTAATTTCCCAAAGAATTAAATAATTTATTTAGCTCATTGGTTACCAGGGGCGGGCTGGGATGGGTGGCAGGGAGGCAACTGCTCCCCAGGCCGCTTAGTGGCGGATCCGGAGGGGTGGGGAACAACAGGACAATTGCCCCCCCAAGAGGCGATGCTCTCCCCTGCAGGTCCGGTGCTATCCAAGAGATCTCCCCTCTGGCCCACAGGCACATTGCTGACAGCCGGCAGGGGAGGGCGAGAGGACCCAGGAGCTCAGCCACTGCAACGCTCCAAATCCCGCGAGAGTGAACTCTAGCCTGAGCTGCACTCCCCACTAGAACCGCCAGGGATTCTCCACAAGGACCACTAAGGATTGCGAAAGAACCCTCCTCCCTCAGAAAAGGTAAGGAGGGAGGGGGATATAAATATTATTCATTTTAGTTTAAAAAAACAAACACACACACATATATATATATATATATATATATATATATTTATTTTATAATTATTATTTTTATTTTTTTATACAAAAAACTTTTACATTCACACACTGCCCCCCCACATATTTCCCACCCACACACTGTACCCCTATCACACACAGTAGCCCACACACACTATACCCCACACAGTGGTGTATCCTGGTTTTGTGCTGCCCTAGGCATGACAAAACTCAGGCACCCCCTCTGCCCCCGCCCTGCCTTCTAAATACACATACACACTCACTGACAGACACATATACACTCAGTGTCAGACACACACTTTCACTGACAGACACACATACACTAGCTAACAGACATACACACTCACTAACAGACATACACACTCACTAACAGACACACACAGTCACTAGCAGACACACACAGTCACTAACAGACACGCATACACTCTCACTAACAGACATGCATACTAACACACTCACTAACAGAGACAGACACGCATACACTCTCACTAACAGACATGCATACACACTCACTAACAGACACACACACACACACACACACTCATTCACAGACAAAAACATAGTAACACACTCCCTAACAGACACACACTCACTAAGAGACACACACTCACTAACAGACACACACACACACTTACAAACAGACACCCACATAGTAACACACTCCCTAACAGACACACACTCACTAACAGACACACACACACTCACTCACTAACAGACATACACACACTCACTAACAGACATACACACTAACAGACAGACACACACACACTCACTAACAGACACACTCACTAACAGACACACACACACTCACTAACAGACACACCCCCACACACTAACAGACACCCATACACTCACTAACAGACACACACTCACTCACTCACTCACACACACTCACTAACAGATACACACTAACTGACACACACACACACACTCACTAACAGACACACACACTTTTAAAAAAATTAAATCCCCCCAGCCTCCCTACCTTTAGGAATGCTGGGGTGAATGATTACTTTCCCTGGGGTCCAGTGGGGCTGCTGGGCGCCGGCCATCACTGCAGTCGGCGAGGGAGCACTGATCCTTCTGTTCAGCGCCCTCGCACGCCGCATAGTGATGCCGGGGCCAGAGTGACATCATATTCCGGCTCTGGCATCACTGTGGTGCATGCAAGGGAGCTGAACGAGGATTAGTGCTCCCTTGCCGCCCGCCCGGAAAGTTCCATGACTGCCAGTCTGGGTGGCCCTGAGGTGGCCATCCAGCCAGCTCTTGGGCCCCCCAGGACAAGAGGCCGGCAAGGCATTTCAAAGTGCCATCAGAAAGTGCCGCCCAAGGCAAATGCCTTGTTTGCCTCAGGGTAAACACACCGCTGACCCCGCACACACACTGTACCCCACACAGACACACACTGTAGCCCCACACACACACACACACACACTGTACACCCCCACACACTGTACCCCCATACACACACTGTACCCCTCACACACACACTGTACCCCTCACACACTCATACAGTACCCCCCACACACTGTACCCCAAACACACTCATACTGTACCCCACACACACTCATACTGTACCCCTCGCACACTCATACAGTACCCCCCACACACTGTACCCCACACACACTCATACTGTACCCCACACAATGTACCCCTCACACACTCATACTGTACCCCTCACGCACACTGCATACCTCACATACACTGCACCCATAATATACACAAACCAGGAAACCAGGTGGGCATGGATGGTGAGTTGATTTGGTGGTGCAATGGGCCACTTGACTGGATTTGCCCCCCAGGCCTAAGTATACCATATATACACACACAAGCTATATATACACAAGATTATGAGTGCATAATCACTATTTTTTTATGATTTAGCACACACCTGGAAGGTTAGAATAATTTTATCTGAACTTTTTAAACTCTCATAACCAAAGTAGCACTATGATGTCTTTGGGCTAAAAAATGTCTCTGGGCTATCATGTAATAGTTGAAAAACTGTCTACACCTTTTGTGATCGGTTTATAGGAGTAGTTTAGGCACACTGAATATTATATGTCAATGCAGAGTTTATGGTGACAGTGACATTAGGCTGAGGGCTGCCCCTTGGTTGCAGGTCAAACAGTTTGAGAGGAGTAAGCAAAACTGGGGGATCTCCAAGGCATCTGCAGCCTTGCCCCCTGCTCGGCTATTGCTAATCTGCTTATTCAGTTTTTCTTCTGCATTATAAATATTAATTTCATCCATATTTTAAAGTCATTGATTGGCTTAACACATAAGATAACTTTCCAGCCAAAATATGGATGAAACTGATATTGTTAATGCAGAAGTGGGATAGTCAATATAAATTTAATTTGTGCCTTCAGCCAGCTGAAAGAAAAGTAAAATTTTGGTTGACACAGATTTGCCAAACACAATTTATGGAACTAGGGAGGTGGAAAGAGAGAAGGAATTGCCTTGTTAAGTTATATATATATATATATATATATATATATATATATATACACATACACACACATATATATATTTTTTTAAAGACAGAGGAGGTACATGATTTCATAAATACCGGTAACTGATTTCAGCACATGCTGTGAGAACTAAATAGTACATAAACGGTATGATTACATACTTGAAATTATTTAGTCACAGAATTCCACTGTCCAAATAGACATGTCCTTAGATCATTGGTCGTCATCCTGGTCCCTACCGCCCACTTGTGGGCGTTTCAGGATTCCAGGTGGGCGGTAGGGATTTCCTCATTTTGAGAGATTGGGCGGGCGGGTGCGAGCCATCACCATTTTGGCCCCGGCCCGCGCGGCAAACCGCCGGGGCCGCCGTCCAAGGAGTTCATCGGGTGGCCCATTGTGTCAGGGCCATCCGATGGTTATGGATTGTAAGGGGGCCCGGTCAGCGCTGGGTGCTTTAACAGCGCGACTGGGCCCCCTGTGATTACATCACACTTTGCTGGGAGGAAGTGACTGCACATCACTCCTCCCAGCTAACACACAGCCTGCGCGGAAGGAAGAGTGAAGGGAGTCAGAGTGGAAACTCTGACTCTCATCAACCTGAGCCATCACTGGACCCCAGGGAATGTCACCCTCCTGCACCTAAAAGGTAGGAAACAGGAGGGTGACTAAAATAGTTTGTGTGTGTTTGTTTGTGTGTATGTGTCTTTGTATGTATGTATTGTGTGTGTATCTTTGCTTTGTATGTCTTATGTGTGTCTGTCTGTAGGTGTCTCTATGTATGTGTGTATGTGTCTTTGTATGTATGTGTGTCTTATGTGTGTGTCTTTGTATGTATGTGTGTGTGTCTGTCTGTATATATGTGTGTATGTATGTGTGTCTTTTCTTTGTATGTATGTGTTGTGTGTGTGTGTGTCTTTGTATGTATGTGTGTCTTATGTATGTGTCTTTGTATGTATATGTGTCTTGTGTCTGTCTGTATGTATGTGTGTATGTGTCTTTGTATGTATGTCTTATGTGTGTGTCAGTATGTATGTGTCTGTATGTGTGCATGTCTGTGTGTGTGTGTGTCTGTATGTATGTGTGCCTGTCTGTAAGTATGTGTGTCTTGTGTGTGTGTGTGTGTGTCTGTAGGTGTGTATGTGTGCCTGTCTGTTTGTATGTATGTGTGTCTTGTGTGTGTGTGTCTTGTGTATGTATGTGTGTGTCTGTATGTATGTATGTATGTGTGCCTGTCTGTTATAGTGGGCTACCTAGCTCAGCCTTCCTACTGGGCATTGCTATAAGGAAAGTTAAAAAAATAGAAAAAAGGGGAAAAAAAGGTGAGGATGGGAATTGAGGAGGGAGAGTAGGGGAGCTGACACACAGATGAGAAATCATATTATGAGCAAACAGAGAAGTCGTCTGAATATCACCAAAAGAGGAGACCTTCGTTTGTTCCTTACGAAAATCGGACCAGATATCAAATATTTAGTCTCGCAGCATCAACCTCAAGGATCTCATTAATCACTAGTAAGGGTAATTTCAATTTACTTTATTGTTTTCTCATTAAACTTTATAAAGTTAAAAACATTATAAACATGCATAAAGTAGAAATAAAAAGATAAATGTACGTACATTTATTTTTTTTAAAACACCCTCCTTTCTAAATATTCAGCACTTGCGCAAAAACTGGTGGGCGGTAAGGAAATTTTTCCATCAAGAAAGATGCATTAGCGGGCGGTTGGTAGAAAAAGGTTGACTACCATTGCCTTAGACCCTCATTGATTTCCTTTAACCTTTGACGTGGCAAATAAACGGTAACAGATTCTCCACATTTGAAAGAATACTTGAAATGACCAGGCACTTTTTGAAGACCAAAAAAAAAAGAATGCACTCCATTTTAGAACTGCAGTACCCAACATCACAACAAACCTGGCCATACAAAAAAAAATAACTTTAATCAAGTAATTTAACTTTTCTTACTTGAAACAGGTACACCGTAAACATTAACTTCTTCAATGAAAGTGACCAGGCCCAGAATATCAGCAACTTCTGTGGTGGCTACATTTTCACCCTTCCACCTAAAAATGAGAATACATTTATACTTGTGAACTTTATGTTTATCTGAATCTCTAGTGTGCCAGAAGGTCTTGGTATATCACAAAAGGTGTTCATACGGCTACATGCTGTATTAGGGTATAATAGTATTTCCATATATCTGAGTATTGTATAACAGAGGTGGACAAAGGTTGATTCCCGAATGCTATAAAACTACATATTCAGTGATGCTTTGCCAGTTGAGGATCAACCTTTGACCACCGTAATCGAAGAAAAATTGGAACCATCAAAAGTGGTCTTTTTGGTAATGCATTATACTGTGCTTTGTGAGAATTGCAGTTGTTCCCAGCTATTAAAAGTGTTTTATCGCAGTATGTAACAAAGTGTTTATCTGCAATTAGCCAATGGTCTGAAACTTTGTGTTTCTCCCCCTTATGCTTTCTTCGAGGGGGATTTTAAGGGAAGTGTTATTCTATGTGGTAATGAGGTGGAACCTCTCTCCTTAACTTATGCAATATTATTGAGCTGTGGAAGAGGCTATAAAGTGAAAATTTAGATTTAAGTACATTTTCTTTTTCAGAGCCAAACTCACTTTTGATGGCTTTGTTTGTGTGAGGGTGGAGAGCCATATACACTTGAGTTTTGTTATAAGGTTTTTTTTTACACTAGTGTCTTAATCACACAAATTATTTGGTCTGGTAAAAAAAATTGAAGTTTATTTCTCCAATCTTTTTGCTGTAATGTAAACACTGCCTCTTCTATGAGAAAACCGTGTTTACTGCAAAAAGCCTGAAGGGAATGATTATACTCACCAGAACAAATACAATAAGCTGTAGTTGTTGTGGTGACTATGATGTCCCTTTAATAAATATCAGGCAGCTTATCATGCATTCACTGCAGGCCTTTTCTGGTGGACATATACCCTTTACAGTCAGATCTGCACCCTTTGGGACGGTGCCAGTGATGTGATTTGTGTCACTAGCCCTTGTCATTTTACTCTCTTCCTAGGATAACGATTTTAGGGGCATGCAATAGCTCATTACAAGTAAAAGAAAAACAAAGAATCATAAAACAGCATTGCCTTTTGCAATGTGTAAGCCTGGAGCTTCATCTCCAATAGTCCCTACATTACTTTGGTCCTGAGAATGACATGAGCGTTTTTTAAACCAATTTCTACGCGGACATACTTCGATTAGCACACTCTAACTTACAGCTATTATACAATGTGACTTACCTGAAAGTATCTCCAATTCTATCATGGAAATAGATGAAGTTTTGTTGGTCAACGGTTAAGAGATCTCCGGAGTTAAAATATGCATCTCCTTTACGGAAGACATCTCTCAGTATCTTTTTTTCCGTATTGGTTTTATTGCCAGCATAGCCAGCAAAGGGATTTATTGACGTAATCTTACCAATCAGAAGTCCAGGCTGGCCTAAAATATGTGAAATAAAATATAACAAGGTTTTTACTTTAAACATGTTCCAGGAGATATCAGAAGTACGGTATACAAAGGATGTATGGGCGTTCACATTAAATAAATTGCAGACATTAAATATATATTTGAATAGCTGTGCAGTAAAGCCCATTTTTATTGTGGTTTGGGGAAGCAGATATTTCATGCAGTTTAGATGATTTTCAAGAGAATCCTTTAAAGGAAAACTAAAGTGTTAGAAATACAAAACTGTATTCCACTACATTAAGCTGTAGCTGTTCTGGTGACTCTAGTGTCCCTTTAAGTGGGCTGGTGAGGGAAATAAGCACCAGAAGCCTTGTCCAGTGTCCTCTGTAGTCAGCTCAGCCTCCTATGCTTTATAGCAGAGCTGCAGGAACAGTTATAGTGGGTGTAAAATACAGTGCTTTCTCAGCTCCTCCAGTGTGTGTGTGTGAGGCTGGACAGGAAGAGGAAATTATCACTTCCTGTCTAACAGCCTCCCACACAGGAAATGCTTTGCTTTGCCTGCACCTTAAAACCAAAATAAATCATTTTCTTAGTCCCAATGTATGCACCATGAGTGATTGTACCCTTTCCTGTTACTATGTTCCCTCTCCAGGATTTATTTAGTGTCCCTGGTGGATCATTTAAATCCAGTGGCTACACAAATCTAACAGCTTATTCGCATGGCAACCAAGTATTATGACCATCAATTGGCTTCATCTATCCATGATCTATTTGATTTACTAAGAAATCTCTCCTCCCCAGTGCAACTGAGACTCCTTTCAAACTGGGAAGAGTCGAGTAAAAGACAGATCTGCATATAAGAGGCTTCAATATAGTTTAACTAGAAATTTAGAGGAAAAAACAGAAACAAAACAACCAGCACTGTAATTACGGTAAACGTCAGCTTATGAGTGTAGGGAATGTAGTATTTGTGTATAAGGGATGTAGCTAATGTGTATGTGTATAAGAAACATAGAATGTGACGGCAGATAAGAACCATTTGGCCCATCTAGTCTGCCCAATTTTCTAAATACTTTCATTAGTCCCTGGCCTTATCTTATAGTTAGGATAGCCTTATGCTTATCCCACGCATGCTTAAACTCCTTTACTGTGTTAACCTCTACCACTTCAGCTGGAAGGCTATTCCATGCATCCACTACCCTCTCAGTAAAAGTCATACTTCCTGATAATGTTTTTAAATCTTTGCCCCTCTAATTTATGACTATGTACTCCTATTGTGGTAGTTTTTTTCTTTTAAATATAGTCTCCTTCTTTGCTGTGTTGATTCCTTTATATATTTAAATGTTTCAATCATACCCCCCTGTCTCGTCTTTCCTCCAAGCTATACATGTTAAGATCCTTTAATGTTTCCTTGTAAGTTTTATCCTGAAATCCATGAACCAGTTCTGTAGCACTTCTCTGAACTCTCTCCAAAGAATTAATATCCTTCTGGAGATACGGTCCCCAGTGCGTACAATGCTCCAAGCGTACATTGTCTACCTTTAAATAATCTGAAATAATTATCCCTAAGTCCCTATCCTCAGATATTGATGTTAGGACTGAATCAAATATTCTGTACTCTGCCCTTGGGTTTTTACACCCAAGATGCATATCTGACCATTTTTCTAGTTTACTTATATAATTTGCCATTTGGCTTATCCCTTCTGGGACATCAACCCTGTTGCAAATCTTAGTATCATCGGCAAAAAGACATACCTTACCATCAAGACCTTCTGCAATATCACTAATAAAAATATTAAAGAGAATGGGTCCAAGTACAGATCCTGAGGTACCCCACTGGTGACAAGCCCAAGCTTTGAATATACTCCATTGACTACAACCCTCTGTTGCCTGTCCCTCAGCCACTGCCTTACCCATTCAACAATATTGGAATCCAAACTTAAAGATTGCAGTTTATTGATAAGCCTTCTATGTGCAACAGTGTCAAAAGCCTTACTGAAATCTAGGTAAGCAATGTCTACTGCACCACCCTGATCTATTATTTTAGTTACCCAGTCAAAAAACTCAATAGGATTAGTTTGGCATGATCTCCCTGAAGTAAACCCATGTTGTCTCTGATCTTGAAATCCACGTGATTTTGGATGTTCAACAATCCTATCCTTTTACATGGTTTCCATTACTTTCCCCCTACTACCTTTCTTGTGAATGGGCACAAAATTCGCTAACTTCCAATATTCTGGGACTACTCCTGTCCCATCAGGCCCTATAAACATATTTGTCTTTACTTTGGACAGCTTTAGTATGCTTGCGTGTGTGTGTGTGTATAGTGTCTGTAGTGTATGTTTGTAAGGGTTTTGTGTAGAGGATGTAATGTGTGTTTGTGTGTGTATAGACAATATAATGTGTGTGCAGGCGATATACTGTGTATGTTAGAGAGGAAGTGTATGTCATGGATATAGAATGTGATTTACGGAGGCTCTAGTCTCTGTGTGTTTGAATTTGGGAGGTGGGATAGGGGTGGTATTGTGTAGGGCGGTGAGAGAGGAGCAGTTTAATAAAAAAAAAAATGTATTATCATTATACAAATTTATTTTACTTTATTTAAGTTTATTCCCCTTCTCTGCTTATCTTTGACCAGGAAGGGACAACATAGTGAAGGACTCTAGCCTGCACCTCCACTGCTCTTTTTAAAAGCCAGGGCAATGAGTGGTATTAGAGGGTTGCCGTGGCAACTTGCGGCTAGCAACAAAAAAAAAATACTCTTACACCTGGCTTGATCTCGCCACAGTGCTTGCACATACACTCGGAATCTTCAACACAGACAGTTTTTTACCTCAAACTCTGGGGTAAAAAAACAGCATTCTTTAGTCAAAAAAAACATAACATGATATGTAAGAATTTAAGAACTGATCTTTAAATAATAAGTAATAATTTAATACATTTTGTAGATTGCTAAGGCTGTGTACATGCCAAATATTTTGTAGGGCTATGTTTGTCTCCGATGTCTCCCACCTCCAGACAGCCATGAATCACTTAAAATACAGCTATTGGCCAGCAGAAGTGCTCCTTAGGTAAAGAGAAAGATCAGAAATGTACCCGCTTAAAGACCTTTGCTGTTGCATGGTGCAAAAATTATGTGGCAGCTGGATAGAGGAGAGGGACAATGTAGGATAGTGATATTGCCTCCACTGAGAACTCGGCCACACTACAAGAATGAAAGCTGAAAGCTGTGACCAGGACTGAGTTTCAGTGGTCTTTCTGTAACTAGAACTGAGTTCAAAAAAGGCGTACCAATAGTCTGCGCCCCCCACAAAGACTTATTTTTTACTGAATCAACCTCCCTTGTTAATTTATATTTCTATCAGTGGGAAAATCGTTACTAGTCAACCAACTATCCAACTCACTGACTCCACCACTGATGCCATTTAAATTGTTAGCTGTCCACTGCATTTTCTCCCCTCCCCCAGGGCAGGGGGTTGTAACAAGGTTAATTTATAAAAGTGCAAATTTATATGGAAATCTGCACTTTTTGTAAAATGAAGAGAAAAAAAAGAGAGAACACACTCTTCACACATAAAGCACTTCAGCAAGCATTGGCGTTTCACACTTATGAGAATGCATTTTGCATTTCTATGGGATGTTTGCCATCATATATGTAGAAATACAATACTAATCATATAACTTGCAAGAGCATGCACAAGAAAACTGGAACAACATCGTCTGAAAATGACAAGATAATTAAGGTAAATCCCTTTAAATAATTAATAATACCTTTCCGTGCTTTAATACATCGCCCCTTGGCGTCTCTGACAGGTTCATCCTTTTCCACATCATATTTAATAAATTCATATGGCAGTAATTTCTAAAAAAAAAAAAAAAATGTTAGAATAAACAAACATTTGAAATAAATTTTAGTCAAATATTTTGTGTTAAATGGACAGACTCACGTAATGACAGCCTCTACTGCAATTCCTAAGTGAGATGGATCACTAGATTAAGTGTTCTCCAAAAGAGGATGGAGCAAGTTGGAGTAGATAGAAAGTGAAATGGTCAGCAATGTAGTGAAGTGGACAAGTAATATGTACAGGGAGTGAATTGGAAAAGGAACGAGGGACGGGTGCTTGGGGCAAGTGATATATTCAAGGAGACTGTAAACATGGGTGAATGTGGAGAGTAACACGGAGATTGAAAACATGGGGACAGTGACATAAAAAGGTAGAGATCAAATTACAGAGACAGTAATTTGTATTCTAGCTGTATTAAGACCTGATTGTGAAAGCTGTATGTTGATTGCTTTCATTGTGCCATCAAGTCTGAATATAAGATGTATAACACTTCCATCCATAGTGCCTCCAGACCAAGATGGACCATTTCCAACATTTTAATAATCATGAAGAAAGTTGGCCCGCCACATATAGATGGTGTTAAGGCAGATTTTATTGGAAAACCATACAACGTTCTAAAGCAGGCCGAAATGTTGTATGGTTTTCTAATAAAATCAGCCTTAATACCATCTATATGTGCCTGGCCCAACTTTCTTCGTACTGAAATACTGCACATACAAACTTTAAGCACCTTGACCACTTCAGATCCCTGGAGTGGTCATGGTGCTTGAAATAATCCTAATACATTTGTCACCATTATGTATCTTTCACTTGTTATTTTTCACTGCTGCCAACTTTAATTCAACTCTCTCTCTCAATATTGATATGGTAGAAGAGTCCCTAAAGGAGTTAGGATGGCACAGTTTCTGCTTCCTCATCCACTCTCCTGCCATATTATTATTGGGAGATAGCTGAATTAGTGCCTACTGTGCACCACGCATCTTTTTTTTCACAGTGTCATTATGTATGGTGTAGTGGTGTCAAATATTCAATCATTAAGCAATCCTGGGGTGAAATATGAAATCATATGGTAAATGAGTTTGTGGGATGAAATATAAAATGATATAGCATAGAAATCGTGGGATCATATACACACTGCTAGGCCACAACATTAAAACGACTTAGAGGTGAAGTGAAAAACATTGTTTATATTGTTACAATAGCACATGTCAAAAGGTGGGATATATATCTGATCAAATCTGAGCAGATCGGTCAGAGTGCCCATGATGACCCCTGTTGAAAGCGCCTTTAACAGGGATATGATCATCAGAAATGGACCAAAGGGCAAGGAAGAAGGGTGCCTGGTCTGATGAATCACATTTTCTTTTAGGTAAGGCGGATGGCCGGTTGCATGTGCATCGCTTACCTAAAGAAGAGAAAACAGCAGGATGCTACAGAAGAAAGCAGGCCTGCGAAGGCAGTGTTATGCTCTGGGCAATGTTCTGCTGGGAAACCTTGGGTCTTAGCATTCATGTGGATTTTACTTTAACAAATATCACCTACCTAGAGATTGTTGTGGACCACATCCACCACTTCATGGCAATGATGTTCCCTGATGGCAGTGGTTTCTTTCAGCAGGATAGTGCACCCTGCCACACTGCAAAAATTGTTCAGGAATGAGTTAAGGAATATGACAAAGAGTTCAAGGTATTGTTTTGGCCTCCAAATTCCCCAGATCTTAATTTGAATAAGCATCTATGGGATGTGCTGGTAAAACATATTCGATTAATGGAGGCCCCACCTCGCAACTTGCAGGGCTTAAAGGATCTACTACTAATGTATTGGTGCCAGATAAAACAGGACACATTCAGAGGTCTTGTGGAGTCCATGCATCAACGCATCAGAACTGTTTTGGCAGCCCGAGAGGATCCTACTTAATATTAGGCAGGTGGTTTTAATGTTGTGGCTGATCAGTGTTTAATATGAAATTGCATATACAAAAATCTTACCTTCTGGAAGATGTTCGCTCTTCCAACTGCTCCAACTGTGTTTGTGTAATTGACAAACCCTATATTTCCTTCAGTAGCTGCATAAAACTCATATACGTGAACATCACCAAATCTCCTAAGGAACTCACTCCAGATGTCAGTCCGAAGACCATTTCCCAAGGCCATACGGACATTGTGTGAAGCATCGTCATCTCTCTGTAGGAATATAAAATAATATATATTTTTACAATTTATTATTTTAAAACTGAATAGATTTCTAGGAATTCCAGCTTTAAATGTTGTGCGTTTTTTCAATATTCAACTGATAAAAGTTATAACTCAGCAATGCCAAGTTAGATTGGAGGCAGAAGCATTGCTGGGGGCGGAGGGAGAGAACTAATCCAGGCTAGAGTTCTGAGTGAGCTTAAGAAAAAGCCCCTAGTGCAGTTTTCCATGGGATACATTCACAGGCCTGAGTCCTCCTTTAGAATGTTTTACTCCTGTGGATAGAGTATCACTTCGGTGGAAGGAAGCAGTAGCTTCCGCTGACCTGAAACATTTCCTATAATACATCTCCTGCTCAAAGATTGTCTGCAGCTCTCTGCAGAGGAAAATTCAGTCTGTGCCTCCATACCTCTAAATGTACTGCTGAGAAAAGAGGTGTGGAGATTGGGGGGCAGGGCTTGGGGGAAGTTGTGGGCTGCAGGCTCAGTGACATTACAATGGAAGGAACTGGGGTCTACTGCAGGTCAGGGAACTCAAATCTTTAATTTCAGTTCATACATCCACATCCTCTGTGCCGGCTGTCATTCTCACTTCAGGAGCCCATCACTCATACACGGATGTAAGGAGAACAGAGGGAGATATTTGTTTACGTTATCTCAGTCTTATATGCTCCATGCTGAATTACTGGAGGAAGGCTTACAGAACATGCCACAGTCAGATTTACCCATTAAAAACATACCACTGTCAGTTTGCCAATTAATATGTACCATAGTAAGTTTGTCCATTAATAAATACCACAGTCAGTGTGCCTATTAATAAGTATCACAGTCAGTGTACCACTTAAACATATGTCACAGCTATGTCTGATGGTGAGACATATTTTACTATGAGAGCTAATGAAAATACCTTTGGAACATTGCAAAGATATCGCAGGACTTCTCCAATGTATTGTATTACAGTCACATTGTACTTTCTACAGTCATCCCAAAACTGGCTGGCTGAAAACTTCTGGCGCAAGACCACAGTGCAACCTAAAAGCATTGAGAAATAACAGATAAAAAAACAACCCCCGAAAACACTGTCTAACCGTTTTTCAAAAACATAAACAGTTTGTAAGGGAAGCAAATATTAGACTTAATGACACAAATATACAAAGGGTTAGAGAGCAAAAGGTAAAATATTCACACAGGGTTAAAGAGCAAACAACAAGTAAGTGTATAAACTCTATTATCTGCAGGTCATGGCACAAAAATCAGTTTCAAATATGAACTCTTTGTGGGGGGTTTTTCCCCACTAAACTAAAGAATTTAAAAGCGACTTAAGAATTTGAGACCAAAATAACTGAAAAATGAAAATTATCTAACTATAACTATTTTTTTCAAATCAAGATGTTTTTCTACATAAAACAAATGTTAATGGTTTCTGATTCTGAACTCTCAATAATCCTTCCCCCCCCCCCCAACCCACCCCTCCAGACCTCCTATTAAAACAAGAAGAAAACAGTTACTACTTTATTAACCAGGGCGATGTTGATGTTTCCTGGCAAATAAAGCCTCCTCTTTTTATTAGGGATATTAGGGCTATTGTGATGAGAGGAGGAACATGAGAACATTACTCTGTCCTGTCACATTATGGCTGGTAGGACATGGTCCATGATTGATAGAGCACCCACTGAATAAAAAGTGCATTTCTTTAGAAATTGTGGAATTCAGGCTACCTGTAGAAATTGTGAACTTCAGTACTGATTTAAAATAATTACTTCATCCCATTCCTGGCCAGTTTCTACATGTATTTGTTAACCACAACCCAAACTCTTCTTGACACATTTTTAATGCCAAACTCTTTGTCCTTTCAATCTCTAGTTCTGTACCTCTTATATTCATATTCACTTTAAATTTCTGTTCATCTCAGACCTTCTCAAGCTCCCTTGTCTTTGTCAGTTTTTTCACCCCAATCTCAAGCCTGGGTCTTTATATTTTAGCAGACACAGCATTACACTGCTTCACATTCATAGAGATTGGAATTGACCAAGGGTCTTCTGTTTTCTGGACCCGTTACTGGAATAGGCACTTTACCTACCTGATGACTGGCCTAAAAAATCTTCTAATGCTAAATTAAGCAATATTCACAATACTTCTATAATTGTCCCAGCTACTGTCAGTTAGGACTCTCCAGATGCAACGTGGCACCTTAGGAGATCTAGCACAGAGGTTGCCTAATCCTACCACAAGAGGATCGTTGGAATATGATGCATTCCGTATCTCTTCAGTTATTAATTTCACATATCTATATTAATATGAAATGGCTGTAATAATGTGATTACCTTTACTGATACATCCACCGATTCCAATCATCATCGCCGAACTATGATACAGTGGCAGGGGGGTATATATAATATCTCTTTGTCGTATACGGCAAATATCAAACAATCCAGTTGCTAGCAGCATGCGGTTGTGACTTATGAAGGCAGCCTTCGGGAGACCTGTTTACGAGAGAATTATGATGAAAGTATAATTAAATGCATGGCAGTTATGGTTATTCTTACATATATCATACAATTTCTTTACACATCTGTTAACTAATGTGACCTGATCTTTTTTCTTCTAAGCTAAATCCTATGACTTTATATAATTTTATGGCTTTTAGTCTGTATCTTGTGTATCATTTTACATAGAGGTCAATGATCTCTCACTACCTAGATAAAATAAAGACATAAACACAAGATATTCGTAATGGAATGAAAACAGTAAAAGAATCCAAAGATTCTATTTTTATGGAGTTAGTCTGATTTTACACCCATTGCGCTTGTTATTGCATTTACACAAGACACACAGCAGAAGAAAATGTATCTAATCAAAGACACTAGTGAATTTTATATCTCCTAGATTGTAAGCTCTTTGAGCATGGCCCTCTTCACCTCCTATTTTACCAACATTACTCTGTACGTCACTACGTGTTATGTTATATCCCCACTGTATAATTGCAAAGATCAGTGGAATATATGCTGGCGCTATATGAATTTTAATAATAATGATATTTCAGATAGCCTTATGTGGCCATTACTACATCCAATCATGATCATACCCCACACTTTTTAACCTTATCAATGCCCATATCCCTCCCTCGCATCAGATCAATGAAAAATCCCTCACTGACATTCTTCATATTTATGCAAATTAGATTATGTCCCCTCCTTATACCCATGCCAGTTTGCCATTACCATTAAACCAGGATGGTGGTAATGCTCCCAAACTTGTCATAGATGTGAAACTGCAGAGCTGATCATAGCTTTATTAACCCTCTGCCTTCAAATCTCCTCCAACATTACAAACCATAGCAGTTCCATACATTTATACTAAACACGTGCATGCTCAATGCTACACTTATTCTATCTACACCGGGTATAAAGTCTATGGTTCTTGGTTTTATAATTGCATGATACAAAACACGAACAAGGAAGGGTTACTTCAAGCATCATAACCACTATAACCCACTGGAGGCATTATGATGCCAGAAGTACCTTGGTTAAATTTACTGGTAATGGAGCAAACTGTTTTACAATGGTTTGCCCTCTTGCCTGGGTCCCGCTGAGCTCCTCGTCTACTCTCTAGTTGGTGACAACATTAGAGCGACAGAAGCTGGATGATGGTCCCATCAGCCATTTATTGGCTGAGAGCAGTGGCGTACACACAACCCATGGGGCCCCGGTGCGAAAACTGATCCGTGCCCCCTCCCACCCCCCCACATGGCGGCGGGCACCCGATCGCTCCCCTGCGACCGCGATATGTACATAGATACACATACAATTAAAGGACCACTACAGACACCCAGATCGCATCAGCTCAATGAAGTGGTCTGGGTGCCAGGTCCCTCTAGTTTTAACCCTGCAGCTGAAAACATTTCAGTTTCAGAGAAACTGCTATGTTTCACTGAGGGTTTATCCAGCCTCTAGTGGCTGTCTCATTGACAGCCGCTAGAGGAGCTTCCGCGATTCTCACTGTGAAAATCACAGTAATGCTTTCCTATGGGCGGTTTGAATGCGCGTGCGGCTCTTGCCACACATGAGCATTTGGAGCTGAGAGGCGGATCGGGGCGGAGAGATCCCCAGCGCCAAGGGAGTCCGGCGCTGGAGAAAGGTAAGTGCTTAAGACACACACACTCTCACGAACAGACGCATACACACTAGATAACAGACACACACATTTACTGACAGACACACACTCAGTGACAGACATACATACACACTCACTGACAGACACATACACATTAACTTACAAAACACACACTCACTAACAGACGCACACAAACTAACACACTCAGTAACAGACACACAATAAAACACACACACTAACACACACACACAGTAACACACACACGTTTTTTAAAAAGAATTTCATCTCCCAGCCTCCCTACCTTTGGGAGAGCTGAGGGGATTTCCTGGGGTCCAGTGGTGTCACCCGGCGGGCTGGCGGGCGTGCGAGGGAGCGTACTGATGCCAGAACCAGAATATGACGTCATCTTCCGGCTCCGGTATCAGTGCGGTGCGCAAGGGAGCTGGGCAGAGAGCGCTCAGGAGAGAGTGCTCCCTCACGCGCCCGCCAGCCTGCCTGCCCGCCCTGTGACACCAGGGCCAGCCTCAGGCACCCCAGGAGAAGAGGCGGGCCACACTGGCATACATACCGGGTCGAATGGTGGCCGGGCCCCCTGGTGGGCCAGCCCGGTCGCAGCCTCGACCCCTGCGACCGCAGTATGTACACCACTGACTGAGAGCATCAGCTGACTGCTGTCAGCCAATAAGTGCTTTTCTGTGTATTGGAATATGTCCGGAATAGAATTCAGCCATTCCAGAACTCTAGTTCCGGAGGTCTAATGACGCTGCTGAAGGTGGAGTTACACCACGGGTAGCAGAGGGGTTAGATTAGGCATGTTTAGGCATGCAACATTTCACAGTGGAATACTGCACATACAGACTCCAGGCACCACGACCACTTCAAATAACTGAAGCGGTTTTGTTGCTTTATAATTTCTGCAAATACCTGTGGTTCCAGAGGTGTAAATGTACATGGCAAGAGATTTTCCTGTGATAAATGAGCGCAAGGATTTGGGGACGGATTCATCTGATGCAGCCTTTACTTTGTCAAGTAACGTTTCACTGTCCTCATTGATGGCTGTGTCTGTTACAAAAAACACTCTGACATTTTCTTTCTTTAGTTCTGGCATCAATTCTTCAATGACATCCCGGAGCTCTATGGCAGAAAAGGAAAATAATAGAGAACGTTCAATTAAATGAGTATTAGCAGAGCAATGTTTTAGTAGATATAACAATGAAAAGGGTTTACAATAAGGAATGTGATTGAATATCATGGGTGATCTTTTTTCTAAAATGGTAATGAATTATTTAGAGGAAAGCTTGTTCTAAAAAACAAAACATAAACTGCATAATAAATCCAGTTATAAACAAAAATTACCATTACGATTATGCTGTTTCCCTGGATGGATTTTGAAACAAGTCTTGATTCTAACCCTGCAGAGTCAGGGCCAGATTAAGAGCCCATTGGGCTTAGTGCTGACAATGATGGGCCTAATTACAGAATCTTTTCGATAGAAAACACTAAAACAAAGTTCTACCTCCCGAGCGTCATGACCAGGGTAGAGGTGTCTCTGTTTCTCTCTACTTGGTCTGATAAGAAGTGCGCGCAGGGGGAGACAAACTGCTTCCTGTCAGTCAGGGTAAAGGGAGACAAGCTCTTCTACCGCGGACCAAACCTCGGCCACACTGCATGATAGAGGTGAGCCTGCATTGGGGGGCAGGTTAATGAGACAAATGGAGGGGCTGAGGTGGGGTTGAATGAGACTTATGGAGGAGCTTTGTACCCCTTAGCGCTTGACCATTTGTATTGTAAATCACAACTTTTTATATCTAATATATATATATTCCTATATTACGTTTAATGACAGACCAACTTTGAATTTTCCAAACATCAAAAATCCAACTATTACCAGCTATGGTAATAGAGATTTTTCTGAATTAGACTGGAATCTGTTCAAATTGGAAGGATATGCATTTTTATTTGTATAACACAAACATATTCTTCAGAGATTTAAAATAATATAGAGTGGGACATTAAATTTATCAGCTAATGTAAAGAAAAAAAAAAGCCTAGATCTCAGCTTAACCCCTTAAGGACCAAACTTCTGGAATAAAAGGGAATCATGACATGTCACACATGTCATGTGTCCTGGACTCTCTTTACCTTTTGTATTGGTCAGTATATATTGTACAGTATTTTTCCACAAATGTACCGCTCAGAGTAATATGTTAGTGCTTTATAATTGCCAATAATAATGAAACAAACGATTTCAAATTTTGACAGGAATAGGTTGAGGAGGAGTCTGCTCAGACAAGCTTACAATCTAGAGGAGTTGGTTTCACTTTAAATTCCCGCTTTAGTGAATTCATCTGTTGAATTGTGATAACATGCATTGTTTAGCAAGGAGTATGTACCTATTAGGAAGTGTGTTGAGTGAGATTAGATTACCTGCCTCTTACTTGCAGATCAAATTATATACAATATGACATTTGTATTGGTATGCTGAATGTAGATTTTTCTGTAATCACACAAAGCTCTGAGGGTCTCATCCCTAATCTCTCATATCACCAAAATCTATTACTCACACATGCTGAAGGTGACCGGGGTATTAAAATACCTGCAAACATCTATACAATTAATAGAAGCACACTGATAATGTATGTTGTACACATTTTAGAAAATGTAAAAACAAAATACACATTAGTTTAAGCAAATCAACATTTTGGTCCATCAGATCAATTCTAAAACTAGTCTAGAATATTACTTAACCATTAGTTAAAGAGAAAGTATGTACATAGCCACAGGGTGCAGATGCACTCGGAGCTGGCTAAATCGTCCAATTAAAGGCTTCTCTATGAGACACTTTTGATTGGAAGCACAATGGCTGCCGTGACGTCAGAAGGGGTCGTGATAAGGCGAGTTGGGAGCTTTGCCCGGCATGAATTCCAGGTAAGTACAACTTCTTTTATGTAGCAATCTGGAGGGGGGACATGAAGAATAATGCCCCTTCATAAGGGTTGGAGTAACTCTTTAAATATCAGATACAGCTCTGCATAGGGAGGAATTGCAAACCAGCTGCTTTTTGTCTTTCTAGTTATCCATTTTATTCTTATCTTAACTGAGCTTAGAATGAACTTTGATTGTTTGCAGTTCAGCATCATATATTCATTTACTCTTCGGTCTCAAATAATTACGGTATTTGGAATGAGTTAATTTATATAGATGGTCTTCATTTTTGTTTTATTTTATCTCGGAGCAGATTCTAAAAGTGTTTTGCAAACAAACAGAAATATGCCTTATCTACATTTGCCTAGAACAGGAATTGGCAACCTTCGGAACACCAGATGTTTTGGACTACACCTCCCATGATGCTTTGCCAGCACTATGGGTGTCAGAGCATTAAGGGGGATGTAGTCCAAAACATCTGGAGTGCCAAAGGTTGCCTACCCCTGGCCTAGAGGGCCAGTTTGTACCATAACAACTTTGCAAACATTATTGCAAAGTTGATGGTGCAGAGAGTACCCTTCCCTCCACTCTAGATGTAAAAATGAAGAGACTCCTGATTGGAAGCTTTAGAAGATTCTTGGCAATGTAACATACATCACTGATTTAATCTCCAAGTGTGGGTAAATATTCCAGATAATGTGAGGATAAAACTATAAACAGTTAATAGTATTCAAAATGTTACTTATTGGAATAGGTCTAGCCTTTAAAAAAAAAAAAAAAAAAATTTCTCTACAGCTGTTAATCAGGCAGGTGAAATTCTATCTTCCAGTTTTGTCCATGTTGTGCAAAAAGAGCTGGGGAGAGAGGGTAGTAGGCCCTACTTACAAAAATAGTTGTACAAAACAGAATACACACAGAATAAAGTAACATCAATGGGTGCTAGCTCAATTTGTGCTCCCCAAATGCTCACAAATCTTGATGATCTCAGCCAATACAATGTTTTTTTCCATAGGAAAGCATTTGGAGGCTATTGTGCATATGCAGCAAAACACCATGCTCTGCCAATCAGCATCTCCATCATAGTGACAATGCATTCCCCACCCCGGAGCCTTGGTGTCTGAAACATAACTCAATAAACCAAACCTAGATAATTTAATTGGCTGCCAGACACCAGGGTGCCTTACAACAGAATCCATGAAATCTTCCATCCTCTACAAAGATTTAACCAGTACCAAAAGCGCCTGGATCAGTGGGGTCTGGCCCGAGCAATCATGAGAGAAAGTTTGACCATCCCAGGCCAGTGAATGGAAAGTGCCGCTCATAAAGAATAGCGTATGGTGGCTCAGAGACAGGGAGATCCCTCTAGTCCTAGGAGTCCTCGCCATCTCCTTGGTCTCCCTTCCAAATAGCGTCCTGTTTGATTGTCCTGGGACACAGCACTGCCCAGGTGAAGTTTTCACAGAGACCTGCAATCCAATACACAGTTACATATGATTTCTGGGTAGCTCACAGGCGGGTGCATTGTGCCTGAAGGAGCCTCTTATTAGTCGCTGATGGACGCAGGGTGGTCAGTTTGACTCAACAAGTTCAGGTAGTGCAAAGGCACAGTATGGGACGGGAAGCCTCAGTGTTTATAGTCCTTTTAGGGAGGTGTTGGCTGGTAGTCATGTGCCAGTTGCCATCTGGGTGGACAATGACACTTCGCATGGTCCTGGTGACGCTGGAGTTGCATCCCTAGAGTGAAGTCTCTATGAACAAATTAGAAGTCAGTCTGTTAAGTTTTAGAAGGTCCAGCGGCCATATGCTCATCCCTGTATTGCAAACACAGTGGGAGAGATGATAGGGCCGTGAGCCACCAGCCCTGCAGGCTAGGGTTTAGTTCCTCTGGTGTCCCCTTGTAATCAAGGCAGGGAGAACTGAGACCATAGCCTGCAGTCCAGCACTTTGCTTGCCTGTGGCGATGGCTCTTCAGCACACCAGCGTTTGCCCTATGGCCAGTCTGGGCCTGTTTGCACCCCCACCCAAAAAATAAAATGCGACCAGTGGTGAAACAGAAAACAACTACACACTTCCTAGCACAGTTTTACATTTGAAGTAAAGGCAGTTGCGATTTATGTTAATTAAATAAAAGTGTGATTATATATATCCTGAGTTTATTCTCATTTCTAAAAGTGGGTTATTTGGGCCAAGATCTATGAAAATATTTTGTATAATGCAATACTGGTGGGCTCTCGGACTGTCCCCTGGCACTCGCTGCTCCACTCATCTTCTTACTAACAGGCAGAAGCTCCTGTTATACAGTCTGGACAGAGAAAAAGTGTATGTAGTGAGTGTAGAAGAAAGGGAACATGTCACAGTATTAGAGAGACTTAAGCAGCAAGAGCATTTGCTTTACCTTAACTAATTTCATTGTCAGCCAGTCCACACCTCTTAAATTTCCATACTTAAGCAAGAGGACGTAGAGAGAAGTAGTTTAAAAAAAAAATTTTTTACAAACTTTTTTTTTTACATTTATTTAAGCTTCAGCTCCATCAGTCCCTATGTTAATCCGGCCCTGCATACAGCTCCTTGTGGCGTTGGCCATAATGAGGGGGCACCACAAGGAACAGGTCAATAGCTATCACAGGGGGCCCAGGAGGTGGTTGGCCAGCCACCTGAGGTCACCCCGGAAGTGGGAGGAGACAAGGAATTCATTGGGTGCGCGAGGGAGCTCTAATGACTTGCTTCCAGTTCCTCTCTGCTCCCTCGCGCTTCCTCTGTAGTAATGCCGGGACCCGGAATATGAAGTCACTCCGACCACAGCATCACAACAGAGTATGCGAGGGAGTAGAGAGGAAGTAGAAAGCCCATTGCCCACTGGAACCCAGGGGGAAAAAATCCCCTTACTGGACCCAAGGGAAGAAAAAAAGAGTTTGTGTCAGTGTGTCTCTGTCAGTGTGTGTTTTCAAATCAGTGAGACTGTGTTTCTGTCATTGAGAGTGTGTGTCTGTCAGTGAGTGTGTGTCTATTAGTGTGTGTTTCAAATCAGTGAGATTGTGTTTCTGTCATTAAGAGTGTGCGTCTGTGTTTGAGAAGTATTAATGTAGGTATCACCATTTTCTTGGCAAAGAGCTCCTTTTGAAAAATCTATGGGTGATTCCATATTATGCTTGCTATTGTTGTCTGCTGTTGAATTGGACTGTTTGTTTATCCTGTGTGCTTTGGACATATCTCATTCTATCAAGATTATTTTTTTTTGTTTTTAAGACGCATTCATGTATAAATCACCATTTATTATGCAAAGTGCAAAGAATTTTGCAAATTCTATGGATACCTGGCAACTCTCATCGTCTCCATATAATGCTTGCTATAATTGTGTCAGCTGAATTTGATTTATTATGTATATATCACCATTTATTGGACTGCATTCACTGTTTCTGCCCAATTTGTGGAATTAACATGCTTGCCCAAATACAGTCAACAAGCTGCCAATATTGTATTTTGGTTAAATGCAAGGTGAATTTGTTTTATGGATTAAATTGCTATTTACTGTGGTGAAATTGGGCTGAAGCTTCATGGCGAAGTACATAGGCAACAAGCTGGAAATTTTTACTTGCAAACTTTTAATTATGTGTACCCCTTGTCTGTGCAGGCACTTTCTATGGAGCGACTGACAGACCAAAATGGGCATTAGCATAATTGTACAGTAATACTATTGTGTAACTACTAATACTACATTATTACACAGTAATTCTGTATAGAGAGGCTGAACTGTTCCAACATTATCAAGAAACAATTTCAGGTTTACATTCGCACAAACATTAAGAGAAAATCTCTGGGCAGACCAACTAAGAAAAAGGGAACATTGCCGTCATTTATCCCCAGCCTGCCTCCGTGCACCAGTCGGCTGAGCCTGAGTACAGCCCAGTCTTGCCATGTCACCTCCCTTGGTCATTTCTCACACTTGCTCTACTATTTGTGCATGTGGGCTGAGCCCCTCTTCCAGGGGTTCATTATATTTTGTCTAGGCCTCCTGTTCAGATCCGCACATAGCCCTGTGCCAGACAGCAAACACTGCTGGAAGAGGAGGTAACAGCACACAGCTGAGCGACAAGCGCCAGGGGCCGTCATTGCCAGCAGCCCGACACCTCTTGCTGCTCCCTCACTCAAGTTTTAGGTTCAACCTCCTGATCTGTGTGAACAACCGAACAAAGCCATTTATGTTGCAATCTGGGCTGTTTGTGAATAGCCAAGTCAGCCAGGGGGGTTTAGCGGATTTCAACAGAGGGCCGAACTGTAGACAAATTGTTTGCAATTTGCATTTAGTGAATAGACTTCTTAGTTCTGGGTTGTCAGTGTCATGTTGTCCTGACTGTGCATGCTGTATGCACAATAGGGAAGACTGAATGTTCCCTGGAGAGTGAGCAGAGCCGCTGGCTGCACATGTGCGCTCTATGGCTCACAGGAAAGAAAAAAAACAGCCTTATTCACTAAATAGTGAATGCAGCCATATCTCCGCTATATCACCTAATTGAGCAGTTCCAATCATTCTGTGTGATGACCTAAACTGCACTTTGAGGATAAACTGGACAGTAATGTATTGGATAAGATTAGTCTCCGTAGAGCAGAAGGAGATAGTGTCTTGTCATGTTGTGGGAGGGATCAGTGTAGCTGCAGACACACACAGTGCACCCCAGGACACCTTTTCTTTTTGTCATTTAATATTTTGCCAGTTTATGGTTTTATCTGTTTTAAGTCTGATAACATTAGTCCCTGTTTCCTAGCTGTGCGTGTTATCAGCTAATAGAGCATCTGCTTTACCACATAGATGAGAACAGGGGCGGGCTGGGATGGGGGGCAGGGAGGCAATTGCCCCCCAGGCCGCTTAGTGGCAGATCCGGGGGGGGGGGGACAACAGGACAATTGCCCCCCCCAAGAGCCGATGCTCTCCCCTGTAGGTCCGGTGGTATCCAAGCACCGGCTCTGCTATGAGCCTTCACGGACCAGAGGGAAGATCAGAGATCTCCCCTCTGGCCCACAGGCACATTGCTGACAGCCGGCAGGGGAGGGTGAGAGGACCCGGGAGCTCAGCATGCAGCTCCTCTGTGTCCTCCTCTCCCGAGCACGGAGCGTTGCCACAGTTACCACTGCAACACTCCAAATCTCGCGAGAGTAAACTCTAGCCTGAGCTGCACTCCCCACTAGAACCGCCAGGGATTCTCCATGAGGATCACCAGGGATTGCGCAAGAACCTCCCTCAGAAAAGGTAAGAAGAAAGGGGGATATAAAGATGAATTATTTTAATTTAAAATTTTATCTTTCCCCCTACCCCCACACACACAAAAACTTTCACATTCACACACTGCCCCCCCACATATTTCCCACCCACACATAGTAGCCCACACACACTATACCCACACTGCCTAACAGACACACACTCACTAACAGACACACACACTAACAGACACCCACACACACTCACTAACAGACACACACACACACACTTACTAACAGACACCCACACACTCACTAACAGACACACACACACAAACTCACACACACTCACTAACAGACACACACACTTTTTTAAAATTCAATCCCCCCAGCCTCCCTACCTTTAGGAATGCTGGGGTGAATGATCACTTTCCCTGTGGTCCAGTGGGGCTGCTGGGCGGCCGGCCGGTCACTGCAGTTGGCGAGGGAGCACTGATCCTCCTCTTCAGCTCCCTCGCGCGCCGCATGGTGATGCCGGGGCGGGAGTGACATCATATTCCGATCCGGCATAACTGTGGTGCGTGCGAGGGAGCTGAACGAGGATTAGTTTTCCCCAGGACAAGAGGCTGGCAAGGCATTTTTTGCCGCCCCCCAGGAAGTGCCGCCCAAGGCAAATGCCTTGTTTGCCTCAGGGTAAACACACCGGAGGAAGCAGAGGGAGGGAGATCGGCGCTGGGATCAGGTAAATAAACAAAAAGGTTTTTAACCCTTTATTCACCGATGTGGGTGGGGAGGGATGAGGGGAGGAGGTGGAGGCAAGGGAAGGGGGATGCAGAGTCTCCTTCTGTATACCCCCCACCAACATCGGTGAATAAAGGGTGCCAGGATTATATATTTGTATTTCTGACACTAAAGTATCCCTTTAACCTTGGAGATAAGTTGCAACTCAGCTCCACATTTTACTTTTCTGCAATTTTATATTGCGATTAACAGGGCACCCGTGATCCTTACAAATTTGTTTGGGGGCTAGTCCAGTTCCCTGCATTAGCCCAAATTATTCCAAATGATGTCCCTACACTGTGATGATCCCATGCCCCTACAAAAGGCAATTTATATGTCTCCCAGATCATGTGTTGCCTCACCAATAAACTACTAATACCTGAAGTCATTTATGCTGGCTGTAAATCTGAGAAGGCTATACTCCACCATTTAAAACTGACTTATCTGCTAACGTTTGAACTTTGTCACAGTTATTGTGTTAAGCAACAACAGATTGCATAGCAAACCTAAAGGAGCAGACCCTAGCTAGCAACATGATAGTGAGCTGAACTGTGAATTGTGCAATCACCAGCACAAATCCTGCTTGAACATAATTATTGTCTTTACTAAATTATTCACTTATTCAGCCTTTCAGTGCAAGAGGAGTTGGAAACACTACAATTTAGTTGACCTTCGACCTTGCACAGAGCCTGTTAATAATGTAGGTTGTGTTGGTTTAGGCGTAAGCGAGGCACTTTAAGAATTTGCACAATATCCGTATTCCAAAGAGCACAGGGCAATGTGCTCAATGCAGGCTCAATGCGTCTCCCACTTCTTACTCTTTACTCCGGTTTTTGTTTATCTCACCTGTGCCCCTCTTGCCCATTCACACTCTGGCTCGTTCTCTTTTTTGTTATAAAAACAAAACCCCAACAACAGACTAACAGACGAGGTCAGGGTAACAGAGAGATAGCGATAACAAGAAATAGCAAGAGTCGGGTACACAGTAATCAGTCAGACAGGCAAATAAGACAGAAAAGGGTTAAAGATAAACGCAGGGTCAGAAACCAAGCCAACACCAGAATATAAATGTAAATGACAAGTGTATCAGCTTTCTCTAATTAATAATGCAATGCACTAAAGTTATATATATATAGTGTTTTCCCCAACAGCTGTGTACCTAAAACAAAATGTGTGAGCGAGCATTGTGGGCTGCATATATATCCTATATTTAGGGTTACCATGTATTTATAAAGCATATTCTGCAGGATTCTTAATTGCCTAATTACTTAATCTCACACACCTTCTTCTGAATTCTACATACTGCAGAGCAATCCTTTTCATGCGCTGCCCATCAATATATATATGTGATATGTGTCTAAAAAAATGGTGGATATCGTAACTCTACTTATATTGGGACCAGATCACTTTAAGTACTTCCTCTCAGTCCCCCAACACTTCTTAGTCATTCAGAGCTCCACAGCCGCACACCTCAACACCCCCCTCCACCAGACCAGCAGGTATAACACCCCAGAGAGTGCACTCCACTAGCCCATCAGAGATACCCCCCATGACAAAATGTAAGAAAAAGTGGGGGGCAAATGGATAAAATAGGTAAAGATGTGTGGGAACATGGAGTTTGGGGGGGACACTTAACCACCATTCCCACAGTACACTCAGACATCATACTCACAAACGCGCACAACACTAAGCCACACTCAAACTCCTATCCACATACAAAATTCAGCCAACACACATAAACACACAGAAAACAATTAGGTCCCCCACATACAGCTCTCTCCTCCACACACACAACACTGCACACTCAATCACCCACAAACACAACACGCACTCTCCACTACACGAGACACTCAGCCACCCCCATTCGCAGAATAGAGCGGAGGGCACCAACATGGAATCCTGTGTGGGGCCCTGGCAAATCATAATATGGCTCTCAACTAATCACTACCCCAATCCCTGGCTTGAACTGATATGGCATGAGATGGATCATAATTCCACCTCTGCCACATTGTAACTATGATCAGACTGCAGACTGCCAGGGACAGAGAGCATCTATATTAAACTGTGACTAAGTGGTTTAACAGTGATATGGGAACCTAATTAGTTAAAGTGGCTACCGTGTACAGGCCTTTGGTATTTAGTTAGTTAAATACTTTGCATGTCCCACAAGCAGTCAGAGGATTAAAGGTGATATGTTGATCGGTTTGTTGTGATGAATAGAAGGAATTTGAGGAGGTTTACATAGGCTGCAAGGTTATGTTTTGTAAATATGACCTTAAGCCCTAGAATGCCTGTTATAAAGAAAGGTTTAAGTGCTGGTCTGTTGCTCTTGCCAACCAGGAAGGGATTTGCAAAGTGCATATATAGCATGTACATAATTAGTATTAATTGTTCAGATATACCTGATATCCAGAAACCTCCTGTAAACTAGTTCCAAGACCATTTCAAGTAACCTGAGATACTGTCAGGGTCCAATAAAACACAGGGCAGGGGAATGTGTATCATTTTATAAAATTATACATTGCAGATCCCACTAATACGTAGCGCCCTAGAGTTTCAGCCAAGGGGTACATCCTAAAATCTAGCATGTTCTATGAAACAGGTTATTAAATGATATATTTGAAAGATTTCAGAGGATTACATGAAGCTGTATTAATAAACTTCACACCTGCGATATTAACCCTGCTCGCACAATAATGAATAATTAATGCTAACTATGGTCTATTAAAATTGGGGTATTTGTAACTCATGGCACGAATAATATATTTTAATTGGTGAAAATGTGACAGGCACTGCATCAGTTGTGTTTCCATACCGTGCTTCCATGGAAACCTATTAGTAGGTAGGTGATGGGAGTCTAGTAGCATGCATATACTTATGACTTTGCCCTACTTTCTTATGAAAGTACCCCTTGGTGTAAAAGATTATAGCTCCTTGGAGAGGAGCAAGGTATCAGTAATTTATTCACTTAGTTTTGGGCGTTTTTGCATTGTTGGAAATATAGGTTACCACATATAAAAGTGCTGCGTCCACCACCAAGACATTTCTGAGTCCTAAGTTGTAGATGAGAGTACGCAAATCCTAAAGTGTTCTAGAGCTCAACGGATTAAGAGGTGAAGGACAAGCTGTGGTCAATGTGCATGAGCAAACTAACTGTGCTTCAATAATATGATGGGGACATAAAGATCCCCATAAGTTTAGCTTGTTCCAAGTGGAATTCTACTCTTGTTTGCATATTAGAGTTTCATATAAATTTGTCGTTGGTATTTGTTGTTAGTCATAACTCCTATGTGTTAAAAATTTAAAAATAGCTAGTACCCAAATTGCAAGTTTTCCAAGTTTTTGAAAGTCAACTTTTTTTAGCCTAAAGTTTTCTAAATGTTTGTCAACTCGTCATAGCTTGTGGTTTAGCATTAGAATTTATTAAGTAACCCTGGATATTGACCAGATAAGCAAAACAAAAGAATTACAAATTGAATTAGCATTTTGACTGAATGTACAAGTTGGTTGGAATTTGATCAGGTGAATCAACACATAATTTGGTTGCTTCCAGTGTCTGCATTAAGATAAGCAATTCTCAAATGTGAATCATATAAAGTACAAAATCTGCATATTTATGAAAGGCTGAATTGGGATATTCATTGTTCTAGTTAACAACCTCCTTTTGTGATTGTCCCTATAAGTGTGTGCCTGTGTCCCAATAAATTGTGTTTTACCCTTCACCAAATGTCGTCTGATTTATTATTAATTAATTAATATTAATTCTGCGCTGTGTTCTCCAGCAAGAGGAAACCTTTAAAGGAGGTACTCAGACGGAGTACTAATGCGTCCATTCACCCCAGCCCAGACTTTCCAAACTTTAGCAGTCCAATCATAGACTTTCCAATGCAGCTCAATGAGAAGTATTTGTAAGGCAATTGTCTGCCTCTTGAGTTTAGCTTCACTGAGCTAACCAAACCAGGAAGCATCAGGACCAGTTGTCTAATTGACAGCCAGGGTGATAACACAAAGTGTAAAAGTTCTAATTTAAATATGCATTTTTAATTTTTTTTAAATGATCAAAAGAGGACGCACTCTTTACAAATAAAGGGGTCTGGAGTGGTCCTTTAAATGTAACGAGTAGGATAGGTTAATTATATTTCCCCTTTTGCTTCAAATATACTGCTTCTAATAACATAATGAGCAAGGTTTCTGTGAGTTGTAAGTTGTTAGTTTTCTAAATGTGAAAGCTGACAATTGAATTACAGCTCTCAGATACATCTGCTGTGCCCAATAGATTGAAGACTGATCAATACATTCTAGATTACTGTAAAATTCAATCTAGAATGTCCATATAAGATAGCCAGATCCACAACATCTTCCCGAACACACAACACTTACAAATACAATTGGGGTTTGGACCACACATGAAAAATGCTTCCCTGTGTATGCATAATTCATATGCTTCAGGAAGCAACACTATCAAGCTATCAATTCTACAGTTACAACGAAAACATATCGATTAGTCAATTACTTTACATTCTGCGGCCTATGAAAGGTAAGGTGCAGTACTTTTGACATTTCACCCAACAGAATAAAGAATTGACCTGTGTCCAATAAAACACAGTGGAACATCTGGCAACCCCAGGTTAAAAGCACTCCTGCCAAAGGCCGCAGTAAGGATACAGGGAGCAGCGTATCAAAGATCATTTTGCATTTTCTCTAATTATCAGATTACAAGGAATAAGACCCTCTGATTAAATATAAAAAAAAAAAAAAATGTTCTAATGAAAATTGTATGTTGAAATATACAGAAATAACTTTTGTTTGTTAATGTACTGCTGGGAAAGGTGAATGAATGAATAAAAGTGAAAACACAAGCTGCAGCTGTCACCCCGGTTTATATAAAGGCAGAATTCTGCGAGAAACCTGCTCTCCGAGTTCTCCACTCACAGAACAGGTTTCAAATGGGTTAACTGTAACATCAAATGAGCCAATCCCTGAACGTGTCCCCAGACACTGTATCCCTTAAGAATATTATATATAGATAGATAAATATATAGATAGATGCATATTGTACTAAAGGGGGGCATTTGTTTTAATTACCTTAATACAGATTCTAAAGCACTTACAATTACTGCAATTATCCACTACTTCTGTACAGTGTTTGTTCCTCCACCTACTTCTCCCAATGGGCATGATAGAGAAATAGCACATTCAGTCACATACATTTTATATATATATATATACGTATACACACATATTCTCACACACACACACACACACACACACAAACACTCTTTTTTGTTGTTGTTTTACATTAGCATACTTATATATTGTCGCAAATCTGTTTCATTTATGGACTAACTGAACTGAGCTTTTTTTTCTGCTGCATATTTAACCTCTTCAATTATATGGCTTGGGGACATGACTTGTGATGGCAACAATTCTGACATGTCCGCAGTCCTGAAAGTGTCAATAATTCAGGAATACTGTGCATTTCAGCAACCAATCAGAAGATGCCTTGTTTTTGTTGCTGGAGGTTAAACACACTTAGTACCATGATTTCACAGACACAAGGGTGATTCATAACTGTGTGATTTGTTAGAAATTGAAAGTGAATTTCAAATTCTAAGCCACAATAGCCTAGCTGTTATGTTTTCAATTCATTTATTTCAGCCTAACATTTTGAATTCAAAATAATACAAGTACTGAGTTGTAGCGAGTGGCTTCAATGAATACCAAGATACTCCACCAATTTGTATGTATGTATGTCATTGTATACCAAGATACTCCACCAATTTGTATGTATGTAACATTTTGAATTCACTTTGAATTCTCACTTTAGTGAATAATCCTGTAAAGTGTATGTTTAAGGTAAAGTAGTAACTAGAAGCATAGTCTGGCTTGGAGAATTTTTACAATTCGGCTATTTTGTTTTGAATTTGAAATTCACTTTGAATTCCTGACAATCTTTACTCTAGCGAAAAATACTGTTTGAATTTGCATTGCATTTCTGACAATTCACTTTTGTAAGTAAACCGGAAATATTTTTAAGCATGCATCCATTGTATACACTCTCTCATTTACAAGTGATACTATAATAAGGCATCTTCAGGGCGATCTAAGCACGTGGAGGTAATTGAAATGCTCACCTGGATCAGCAATGATGATCTTAGCCCCACTGCATCGGAAACAATGTAGAAAGGATTGACCTCTAATGTTAGTGTTGATTAAAGCCAAAGAACACGCCAGTTTAGACAAACCAAGGTAGATCCAGACATAAGCAGGTGAGTTGTTCATGAAGATAGCCACACAGTCCCCTGATTTCACAGCACCATGCTTCCGCAGGGCTCTGGCTGCCTGGTTGCTGAGCTTGTCCACCTTGGAGTAAGAATAGACTTCATCTTTGTATAAAATAAAGGGCTTGTCTGGAAACCTGTCCACCTTATCCAAGAACATATCCAAAATTGTATAGGCAGGTTTTTTGCGTTCATATTTTTTGTTCCTTATGCCAAAACGTAGGATAGTATAGAAGTTGGCCAAGTCCTGGAAGATGAAAGGGAATATAAAGCTGATGAGGAGAGGGAGAAGGAGCAGCCCTGGGAGGGCGGTAAAAAACACCGTGATCATGTAGTGGGCTCAGTTAGGCACTCAGGAGGTCTGGGGCTGCACACCTGTTCTACCTGTGTGTGCAGGATTAAGCATGACACTAAGTGGAAGGTGAGGCACTGTATTTGACAGAGGTGGAGCTTTTAGTCACTCACTGACAATCTTCTCTCCTCCCTCATTACTATGTAACAAGCATGTATGCTCTCATTAGTTACAGTATGCTTTTTGTAATGCAGACATGTCTACAGTTAAGCTTATGTCAATGATTACCATAAGGTGAATTCGGGACGTGCCCTGATCATTCCAGCTCCCCTTGCTTTTGTGAGGGAACATGTGTTCAGCATCTCGGACAGGTGTCCAGTAGGGTTGCCAGGTCTAACATATTTCCTACAGGGGTGTAACCAGAAACCACAGGGCACCAGTGCAAGAATTAATGAAAGGCTCCCATCTAGCCTGAAGAGTTTTGTGTGTGTTTGCTAGGAGAGTTTAAGTGTGTGTGACTGGCTGAGTGTGATATGTGTGTGGGTCTGGCAGAGTGGGATATGTGTGGGCTCAGTTGAGTGTGATATGTGTGTTTGGTCGAGTGTGATGTGTGTAAGATTGGCTAAAAGTGATTTTGTGGCGAGGATGTGTAGGCAGTGACCCCACAGATGTTTTTCAATAATTAATTTTTTTTATTTTATTTTTTTAAAGCTACTGTTTTCACTAAATATCCCCCTCTACCCCTCCCTCCTATTTACCTTTATGCTGGGAGGAGATATAATCCCTGGTGGTCCAGTTTGGCTCCCAAAGCCTGCTAAGTGCTCATTAAATGAGTTTGAGCATTGCCCGGTAATCTGGTGGTAGTGTTCTCACTCATATCCTAAGGTCCAGGACCACAGGAGATATTTAAATTGGTCTCCATGCACACTAGTGGGATTTGATTGTCATTTAATATACTGCAAACGCAATATATCAAATAGCAGTTTGCTATTATTGTGGGGTATCCCCCCCCAGCTTGGGACCCACTGATAACCTGAACTGCTAGGCATGGTCGTAACTGAGAAAGCTGAGATCCTGGTAGTTTTGCCACTGTTACCCCTTTTTCCTGCTGGAGGGAAATCCACGAAAAATGCTGTGCTGTAGACTGCACAATTCATATACTGCATAAGGGGCATTAAACAGTTACCTAAGGTAGCATGCTTAGGAGGAGTATCAATACATAATGATATGGTCATTTAATTAATGGTAATTTATATATATATATATATATATAAATCGATGCTTTCACATTTGCATCAGATTTGGGAACATGTACTATTTTCTTATGCACAAAATTGCACCTCGAATAGATTGTTTTTCTGCCACTTTTTACTGCCTTTTTTTGCTGTTCTTTTTCTGGATTATTTTACCATTGATTGCATTCACATAATAAGTAAAATGTGTAATAGCAACAAACCAAATACTCCCTAGAAGGATGTTGTTGGCACAGCTGAATTTCAGGACTTTTAACTTTTTCTCACACGTGGAGAAACTTTCTGATATCCAGAGGTACAGACTTTGTACTGATATCCCTTAGGATTTAGCCCATATTGAGGCTAAAAAGTGATTTTGCACAGTTAAAGGACCACTATAGGCACCCAGATCACTTCAGCTCAATGAAGTGGTCTGGGTGCCAGGTCCAGCTAGGTTTAACCCTTTTTTTTTTTATAAACATAGTAGTTTCAGACAAACTGCTATGTTTATAATAGGGTTAATCCAGCCTCCAGTGGCAGTCTCTTGACAGCCGCTAGAGGCGCTTGCGTGCTTCTCACTGTGATTTTCACAGTGAGAAGACACCAGCGTCCATAGGAAAGCATTGTGAATGCTTTCCTATGGACTGGTTGAATGCGCGCGCAGCTCCTGCCGCATATGCGCATTCAGCCGTAGAGGAGGAGGAGAGCTCCCTGCCCCGCGCTGGAAAAAAAGGTAAGATTTAACCCTTTTCTCTCCATCCAGCCCGGAGGAAGGGGCACCCTCAGGGCACTATAGTGCCAGGAAAATGAGTATGTTTTCCTGGCACTATAGTGGTCCTTTACTGATTTTAATTGTGCCAATACTTTTGTGAGTGTTCTTTTGATTGTTCCCCCCATACATTATTGATATTGAAGTTTGCACAATTAGTCTCTTTGTGTTTTTCTTTTATATATAAGATCCTTTTTTCTTTTAAGTGGTAAATATACACTGTTTCACATTTGTGATTGTGGCGCCCTGCACTGTATTCAAACTTTGGGTTTTAGACAGATTGTTTTTAAATTGGTAATAGTACTAGGCATAAAAAAACATGCATTTTCCATTTTTAAGGATTATTTTGACAACTTAAACAAAAAGGAAGACCTGCCACTCTGACAACTACAGAGACAGTTGTCAACAAAAAAGGCGCACTCTTTCAACTCTACACATTTCAATACTTTGCAACATTTCAAATGGACAATGGACACTTTCATGTTAGGGGTGTGAGTAGGATTGTGGATTTGGGCTGGGCTGTTCTGAGAAATTTTAGATAACTTATTACTAACAATATACTGTATGCAACTAAAATGTCATTTAAAACAAGAACAATGTATCTTATTTACACAGACTGATTTCCAAACACATTTATGGTAGTTTAACCCCTTAACGACCGAGGATGGTTCAGGACCGTCATCGGCATTTTTCCATTGCCGACCGATGACGATCCTGAGCCGTCCTAACGGTCCAATGTACTTACCCGATCACCTGGTCACAATAGATGTCCATGTGTCTGCCTGCAGGGGGACTGTCTGTGCTGACAGGCAGTCTCCCTGCATGTGTAAAAAATTTTTTACAAAAATTAAAGTTAATGTTAATAAAAAATAAAATAAAAAATGATATATGTGTGTATATATATATATATATATATATATATGATATATAGACAAATATTATATTTATACAATATATGTCTATATATCATATATATAATGTCATACTAAGTGTATTTTTATATTAATACATACATATTTTAATATAAAAATACACTTATAATTAAATTACACATGTGTATATATATATATATATATATATAATAACTATATATATTGTATATATATTATTATAAAATACAAATAAGTAGATTAAATTAAAAAATTTTTTTTTTACAAAATTATATATCTATATGAAATTTTATTCTAACTGTATTTTGATATTAAAATATATATATATTTATATCAAAATACACTTAGAATGAAATTGTATATAACTATGTATATATAAATAAATAAAAATAATACGAAATATACATATGTTCATATACAAAATTACATAAATAATTATATAAATATACACGTAGACTTCAAATATATAAATATCCATATATATTTAAATTCTACGTGTGTATTTATGTAATATTTTTACATAATTAAGTAATTTTATTAATTGCAATTTGAGGGACCTGCCTGCCAACCCAGGCCGAAAGTCCAGAGAATTTAATTTGCTAGCACTGTATTTTACCCTGTAACTTTCTATGACACCCTAAAACCTGTACATGAGGAGTACCGTTTTACTCGGGAGACTTTGCTGAACACAAATATTAGTGATTCAAAATAGTAAAACATATCACAGCGATGATATTGTCAGTGAAAGTCACTTTTTTTGCATTTTTCACACACAAACAGCACTTTTACTTATGATATAATTGTTGTGAAACATTTTCCTGTTTTGAAACACTAATATTTGTGTTCAGCAAAGTCTCCCGAGTATAACAGTACCCCCATGTACAGATTTTATAGCATTTTTGAAAGTTACAGGGTCAAATATATGGGTCAAATATTTTTACATTGAAAATGGCCAGGTTGGTTACGTTGCCTTTGAAAGCGTATGGTAGCCCAGGAATGAGAATTACCCCCATGATGGCATACCATTTGCAAAAGAAGACAACCCAAGGTATTGCAAATGGGTTATGTCCAGTCTTTTTTAGAACCCACTTAGGCACAAACACAGGCCCAAATTAGCATTCAATTTAATTTTTACTTTTTTCACACACATACAAATATGAACGCTAACTTTGGCCAGTGTTTGCTACTAGGTGGCTACTAAAAAAAACTGGACATACCCCATATTGAATACCCTGGGTTGTCTACTTTCAAAAAAATATGTACATGTGGGGTGTTATTCAGAGATTTATGACAGATAATAGTGTTACAATGTCACTATTGATACATTTGAAAAAATTTATGTTTTGAAACCGCAATATCCTACTTGTACCTATAGCCCTATAACTTGCAAAAAAAGCATGTAAACACTGGGTATTTTAAAACTCAGGACAAAATTCTGAATCTATTTAGCAGTTTTTTTTATTCGCTTTTGTAGATAAGTAAAAGATTTCTCAAGTAAAAGTAAAAAAACATGTATTTTTTTCAATTTTTCATCATTTTTTTTTAATGTTTTTAAAATCAAATTACATGAGATTATATAAATAATGGTATGTAAAGAAAGCCTTTTTTTGTCCTGAAAAAAACAATATATAATTTATATAGGAACAGTAAATGAGAGAGCGGAAAATTACAGCTAAACACAAACACCACAAAAGTGTAAAAAGATGCCTGGTCGCAAACGTACAACATCGCAAAAACAGTCCAGTCCTTAAGGGGTTAAAGACACATTACTGTGTTATTATTATTATTGCTGTGGATCTCTTTTATACACTCAGACACACCAACAATATGATGGATTTCCTAGAAAAGATGGACACTAGGACAGAAAAGAGCAACAGTGAGATATGGGCACAAAATAGGGGCTGTCCCTCTGAAATAGGGTCAGTTGGAAGGTATGTATTTACACTACCTATATGTCTGTCAGCTTAAAACAACCACAAAAAGCAGGAAAAACAACTGTCAGGAAGAGTTCAAACAGGAAAAATGTGGTACATCCCTCTGGTTACTTATCTGTATTACTCTCTCAGCTATTAACCCCTCAGTCTGGTTACTTATCGCTCCATATTTATTTTTGTATGTCCCTAAGTGTCCCTCCTTTTTAGCAGGTCTGCTCTCCCTCTATAAACCACCCCAACAGAGAGACTTGGCTACTTATTTAGAAGTTAGTCTTTCTGTCCATGAAGGGGGGAGAGTAAATAATAGGCAGACTGGAGTGCTGTAAGCGCCTCTGCTTATGAAC